TCTGTTAATATACGTATAATAATAATGAAAAATCCGAATAATATATACAAACAAAATTATACCGAAAAGTGGCATATTTTTAGAGGGTGGAAGCACAGGTGTAAGGTTTGCGACGAATGCAATCACCATTCACATCTATATTGCAAAACATGCAAAAAAGTAGCGGGTGGGATATATAAGCGATGTGAATGTGAAAATTCTCAATAATAAATAAAAATAAATCAGAATTAGCGTTAGTGATTTGGTAACGGTAATAATGATAGTTTGAACAAAATTTGTAAAGGCTTATTATTATGCATAAAACGGGGCACGAAGTAATTGGAATAATCGGATCTATGTGTTTATATATTTTAATTTGTAACAATAAAGTTAATTCCTGGTGGCTAATTTATGCTAACGCTACGTAACCAATAACTTTTTTAAACAGAAAACCGGATCAGAGTTGATGTAACATAAACTAGACCTTAATTCAACTACGCATTCATCGTTATTATCGCCTGACTATTTTTTTTTTATTTCTTTGTTAAAAGCCAATATTTATAATCATGTCTTCAGAACCAGCCTCACCTTCAAGCATATCTTCCGACGAAGAAATAATAACCCGCACCATGGGAGACGTAGTGAAAGATTATAATACTGAAGAACTTATCGAATACTTACGCAGAAAGAATTTAAAGCTTAATGAAGCTCATTTTGAAATTTTTCGGCAAGAAGAGATTTCTGGCATATCTTTTTTGGAATTAACTAAAGATGACTTTATAAACTTTGGATTTAAAGGTGGCCCTTCCATTATATTGGCAAAATTTGTTGAAGAGCTTAAAGAACAAAAGCTACGTTCTTTTTCGTCTTACAAAACCGTAGAGGAGCTAAAAGAGTTGCCACGTGAGTATAAGGTTAATGGAGATAACATTACGTACATAAAACAATTCATTCCAAGTAAGTCTTATTGAAGGCAAATATAAAGTGATTGTTTGGCCTATCTTCACTATGATTTTACAAATTATTGAATGTAACTAATTTCTAATGTCTTTCTCTAAAGTTTTTGAGAAAATCGATGACGACGACGAGGCCCTTAAACAATGTTTCTCAGAAATTACATTACGACTTTCGCAGATAAAATCAATGACTGACGCTAACGAAGCCACTCGGCGTACTTTTATCGAATCCATATTGCATGCATCAATTGCTATTGCTAGAAGGCGAACCAATAAGGAAATAGATATCGAATATCAGAGAGAAGTTTCTGGCGAAGAGTCAACTGGACGAGTAGACTTTGCGATAAGTGGGATAGAAGACCTCTTGTGTATCACTGAGGGCAAACCAAGAAATATAAAAATAGGATATCTTCAGGTAATTTTTTTTTATTAAAAATAATTATTATTTGCACTAGATTATTAATACAGTTTATTCTCCAGAATATAAAACAACTCGAAAGCTCCTTTCATACAAACAAAAAACGAACTGCGGACCAAGCATTCAACAACGACGGATATGATTATCTTTACGGTATTGTATCTACCGGAGTAGATTGGCATTTTATCATGTTTACATCGGACGGGTTATATTGCACAAGTAAATCCGAATATCAAATAGATCTCACGAAAAAAGTGATTAGAGAAAACCAGGAAATTTTACGAAATAATATAAAGGAAATAATTGGCATAATTGTTGGATTATTAAAAGACAGAGTAACAGTATGTGATAAACCTGAAAGTAAGAGACGTCGGGTACAGGAAAAAATAAAATAGATAAATGTTTTTACTGTATTTTTATTATGATTGCATGTATCCGGCACTTGTGTGCCAAATATATTCTTTGTAATAAATCAAGTATACATGTATTTTTTCTGATAAAACTTTTAATGCATCAAAAAAATCAAAAAATGTATATCGGGAATTTATCTTTCTCATTAATTGAATCCATACGAGAGAATGGTTCCTACATCATGCATACTAGGATCACTTTCAGGTTGACTACTCGATAAATCACATTTTGCCAGCTATTGTAAATAAGTGACATAGAAGGTTCTAAAATTTTTGAATCTTATAACTATATCTTAATTTATACACATGGTGAGGCCAGCGGTCCCTCTTCTTTATTTCATAAAAAAAAAGTTGCCGGAATGAGAATATACAAATAAAAAAAATATTAGCACCATAGTGCTAGCACGGCTAAAAAAAACATATTGCAGTTATATGCACGAATGTAATAAAAAAAAATCTTATTTGAAAAATCATTTTTTTATTTTTCTTCTGGTACCTGCATCTTGAAAAGTCCCCAGTCTAGCACTAATATACTCGATTCTTAATTGTACACCGTCTACTGTTTGTTGATACGAAACTCCTGGGTTTGCAAGAATATTATCAAGATTAATTCTATTGTTATTGATTTCTAAACGTTGACCAGTTTGATTTTCTCTTTGAATTGACCTATAATTAAAGCAATAAAAAATATAAAAACACTTTGTGACTCTAAGTATGGAAAACAAAAATCTTTGTGAAAATTATGTACAGTAACTTACAACTCAGTAGAATCTCCTATTTCTCTTCTCAGACTTCCGCTATCAAAAGACTATCATTCCCATTATAAATAAAAAGAGAAAGTCCATTCCACTCATCACGTTTAACTTCATTCATAAAAAGTATTAATATCATTCATATCTCGCTCAAAGAGCATAAAACAAATAAAAGAATTAATTACCAACTGTAATCCTAATTTGTCCTTTCATTAAGGCTTCCTTCCGAAAAAATTTACAGGTAAAAAAATGTATTGCCTACCTTACAAACAGAAATCCACTTATTTTATACCATTTTCATTTATAAATTTGAAAACCCGCTAGAAGAAACTTATCATTATATTACCTAACACAATACCAGATCCTGCCGTGTGAAGCAAGTATATTCGGCTGTAAGTTCCAAATACTGAATCTATTCTGTTATTTTTCTGGTGAAATTAACCCCCTTAGATTCGACGATCTCTCCTGCGAAGTGAAAAAGTTAACGATCTCGACGATCTCGGGATGGCGGAGATTCCAAGTTCCTGCAACATATGAATTTGGACAAAACTCCTGATTAAGAACATTATACGTATTGCCCTTATAACCTTTTTGAGTCCCATTCTTATCGTAGGATCGTATAAAGTAAGGAAAAGGATCTAGACGTTATTCGCTTTAGTAATAATCGTTAATAAAAAAATCGACCGTGAGAATTAATTCTGCAGGAGAGTGACACAAGCCATATACCGTTCGCTATTTCAACTCTACGTAGCAATAGTAATAAAAATAATTTAAACCCGAATATTGAGTGGTCGCTATTTTAGCCTATAAAAAGCGGTTCCGCAGTAATAAATATATTTTTTTCCAGCACATAAAAATTAAATTAGCACTACGTGATCGTGTTAAAATAGCGCACATATTTGTTTATGGGTATCGGTATGTCCTATTTTTCGAATTTGTATTGCTATTTTTATAGATGTTGGCCGAATCAGAACATCGAAATAGCGAATGTACGAATATTTATGGTTAGTCTACTAACCGCCCCTTGAAAACAAATATACTATATTTACAACCAACACCAAATATAGCGGGCCACATAACAATAGCCATTCCTTGTGCTCTACATGCATGAGGCTCAAATAAGTACGTATATAAAATCTTTTCTATCTGAAATTTTTTACCAATATTCCACCTTTTTACACTAGGTTGTTTTTGTGTTGATAAGATGATTGCTGGAACTATTTGTACAGGTATGTCTAGTCAAGCAAAAAATTTCGTCTCTAAAATTGAGCGATAGGGCCTCTGACTAAGTGTGTTGTGAGGTTTAACATACTCATAATTACCGTTTGGTAGCTCAGTACTTTGGTGAAGGTAGTTGTTTGTTCCGCAAAAAATACACAATCTAGTCACCCTTAATAATGTAGTTTTCTCAGGTGTAGTTATAGCCTTTCGGGGCAGGCCTAGGATCCGACTATTACCTCCCTAAAATTTATTTTTCTTTATATACATATTATAAAACACTTTTTGAGGGCGCAATCGTCAACTATCATTATCTATGTAGTAAGGAGAGGAAGACCGAACGAGATTCCCGCGGGTTAGTCCACTGAACTACAAGATGAGAAATAGTTTGAATGTATCCACCTCGCTTTTTTGCTATTATACTTCTTTCCAATAGTCATGCAAAATTTTCTTGGCTATTCCAGTTCTACTAATGCATTTGAGGACATAGATAGTTGTTTTTCTAATACTATTCTTGAGAGAGAGTGGCAGGCACATAAGTGCCATTGTTTTACAATAAGCCATGAGTCTCTGACTCATCACAATTGGGTAATGCACGAAGTGAAATAAAAATCTATGAAGTGCATACTAACTATAGACTTTTCATTTTTGCAAAGCAGGACACTTATGTGGCTGATTTTTTAGCTTTTGAGGGGATCAGAATTCGTGGGCTCCGCAGGTAATACATTTTTTATTGCAGAGCAATGGTTCTTTGAACCTATCTTGCACTTTTGACGTAATTCTATCTCTTTCTGCAAATCTAGTGGAGTATCAAATCTTAACCGAATTGCAAGTGGATCATCCTCAGGCCTATCTAAATCAAATACAATAAATTCACCTTTGCGTAAGTAACTGTTAATAACTATTGATGCATTTTTTACATCATTTGTATATCGACGAATAATTTTAGAGACATCTTCATATGAGCTACCAGAATTAAAGAGTACTAAGTAATTTGCATTTTCATGCATGAATGTAGTGATTTCTGTGCCACGAATATACATGAAATATTCCGATGATGCTCATTTCCAAAAAATTAGCCAATTCGATTCTGTATATGTTCTGAAGCGAGACACAAATCCTCAAAAACAATCACTGTACTTCGTTCAGGTGAAAATGCTTTTACATTAGGGATTTTTTCTGAAGATATATAGCTAAATCATATATTTTTATAGTAAGATGCTTTCGGGTCTTTTGAAATTATGCCATACATATATCTAACGAATGCCCATTTTGGCTTGTCAGGATGATAACCACAAACTATTAAATTATTGCAAAAAATATATCTCCTACCACCTTTTTTTTTTTTATATATGTATTCAGCTTTATCACCGAGAAAAAGATTTGTTAAGATATTAGTCTTACCTGATCCACTTTTTCCTATAACTATCATTCTAAAGGGCCATGTTGGACTAGCTGGATGAGATTAACAACAAGATACAACATGTTTATTAGCTTTGTCCATATCTATAAGGAATAGTTTCATAGGAGGTATTTTTGAATTTTTTTGTATAGTGGATTGGGAATCCATAACTCTGTTTTCTATATACTGGATAAAAATTTTCTTTCCCCCGATAATTCACTTCACTTTGT